AAATTTGCAAAAAATATAAAAACAATTACTTTTGCAAAAAGGAAGGGTTTTGATAAAGAAATGGTGCCGTTGTGTCTGATACTTGGTAGGGAAAGACTCCACTTTTAACACTTCATATAAAGAGTGATATTGTACTCTACATCACTGACAAATTTACCAAAGTGATCTGACCAGGAGTAGTGAAACTTATGATTGGATGGTTTTAGTACAAACTCTCTAGTACAGTCGAAAGTACTCCATCTTTGCAAGACCACACCGTTCATCAGTTGTAGTGTAATTTACATGTTATTATGATATATATTAGATCCAATATGAAGCCGTTAGATATCCTAGGAGGTCATTATGTTTAGAAAAAGATAACTCACTAAGGTTGGCTAGATTGTAATTAGTTAGGAATTTATTTCTCGTCACAGTTAGTGCTGGGAATTCACAGAGAAAGTGGATAGTCGTTTGTTTCTTTCCTGGCATTGCAACTACGATATCGAATTCGAATATATGACAATTCCGTTTCAACTCCAGTTCCATTATATGTGGCGAGTAGTAGAATAATGTTTAGGTTTAAATTCGTCGTTAATTTGGTGAAATTTGGCACATGGATATTATTGGCACATAATGCACGATTTGTGTTATAAAATTGTTTATCAATTTTATTCTGATAAAAAAAAATCTCTTTCGGATCTATATCATCCATATTTTCAAACAAAGGTCTGGTTAAGATCTTCAAAGCCAAAATAGAGTTTCATCTATGAATACAATATTGCATTAAATGGTATCGTTGACCAATCATCAATATATTCCTGATGATTTGCTGGAGTATAGTGATCCTAAATGTTTTCAGACGGAAGTCCAACATATCAAGGAATATGTGAAATGGATTGGATTGAATATTGGACGCTTGCACACAAGCACCAGACGTGCCCGAACGGATACTGGGCCCAAATTACGGCATACGATATCGATCGAAATCTCAATAGAATCTAAATGGCGATTTCGATTGATATCGTATGCCGTAATTTGCGCCCTGGAAAAAGAAATTGTCGGGAACTGTGAAACAAAGATCTCGATGTCTAGAGGAGCAAATACCTCTTCTATTGTTCTACATTGAATCTGAAGTTTTATATTGAAAACCCGGAAACCGAAATATACTATCGTCTAATTACAACACCAGCTTTCAAACGGAAGTCCGTGAAATCAAGGAATATGTAAAATGGTTTGAGGTTAACATCAATAATTTTCAAAAACCAGAAGGCAACTAGAGCAATATCAGTGGATAAGCTTAAGTTTAATCCTAACACTACATTGCCCTGCAAAAGAGCCTTGAGGAATTCAATCGGACGATTGCAAAACCGTTTAATGTATCTAAGGATGAATTAAGGGCAAGAGCTATGGCCACTTGTTGTGTGTAAAACCACTGAAATCTTATGGGGTGTGGAGAGGACAGGCTTCAAACATGATGGGATCGATGGACATCTCTCCCAGAGCGTTTGAGGAAGTTAATCGGACGAATACAAAACCGTTTAATGCATCAAAGGATGGATTAAAAATATGGGTGAAAGAATCGCTACAGCCACTTGTTATAAATGGAACGTTGTGTAAGACCACTGAAATCTTATGAGAATAGGCCTCAGAATCAGTAAGTCCGAGATAAGTATGATGAAACCTATTATTAGTGGATAGACGGATTTACGGTCACAATTATAGTACAAGATTAAAAGAGCAGATTTGGATGAACGCATTGGAACAAATGTAAAGACTGCGGAGGGTTTTAGTATTTCAGATATTTCTCTGAATGAACAAGTACGAGGTTACTAAGATCGTCATTATTCTTAACGAACGGATTCAGCCGATTGTATAACATGTGGAGAGGACAGGCTTAAGTCAAAATTAGATTCAAGTATGATGGCAGCAATGTTATTCCACATATTACATCTCTACCAAGAATACTGATTGGAAAAATATAAGAAACTACATCGAGGAAAATTAATTTCTGAACATGGGAGAATCATTTCTTTTCTAGATCGTTATATACAAAAATAAATAAAAGTTTAATCCCAATTCTGTATTGGACAGTAAAAGATCCTTAGCACACCAGATGTATGCTCTGCATCACTCGGTTCACTCCGGAATAATAGGCAAGGAAAGGGCTAATAACTTACCATTATGGGTGAAAGAATCGCTACGGCCACTTGTTATTAATGGAAAGGTGTGTAAGAAATCTTATGAGATCAGGTCGAAAAGTTTCCTCAGAATGCATAGGTCCGAGATTAGTATGATTGTTCGTATTGGATAGACGGATTTACGGTCACAATTATTGTACAAGATTGAAAGAGCAGATTTGGACGAACGGATTCGAACAAATGTAAAACCTGCGGAGTGGACAGGATTCATTGAAATTAGATCCAAATATCATAGTAACAATGTTATTTCAGATATTTCTCAGAATGAACAAGTACTAGGTTAGTATGATGGTAATTATTCTTAGTGGACATACATGTTTACGGGCATAACTATAAAAAAATCTAACGAACGGATTCTGCCGTGGAGAGGACAGGCACAAGTCAAAATTAGATCAAAATATCATGGGATCGATGTTATTACAGATATTATACATCTCATTCAGGAATATTAATTGGAAAATTATAAGGAACTATGTCCAGGAAAATGAATGACCATGGAATGATCATTATATAATTTATTTCCAACAACGTTTTCTATAAAATTTGGACAGGAGAACAATCTCCCAGAAAGAGAAGAAAAAACAAAAATACGAATTTAGTACTTTTTGCATATTCGGACGTTTAAGGGGTGAAAATTATACCTACTTTTGGAACTTTTTGCATAAAACATTGTTTTCTATGTATTGATTTGTTCATGTGAATGAATACCTAATGATGGGCTCCCACTATGATATTGCAACTTTTTAGAATAAAATGTTTATTACTTCCAATAGGGAGAAAAAAGTACCAAAAGGGGAAAAAACGGGAAATTTGATTTGATTCAAACTCATTGACCCAATTTTAATAAAATTGGAGAAATTCGTTGATTTAGTAACGCTACATACATATGTCAATGGGGTATTAATTGGAACTCCGGCACAAAGGACTATTTTTGGTACTTTTTTTGTTTTTTAACTGGTACTTTTTGAGTTTTTTATAATATTGATCCTAGAAACATGAAATTAAGCATGTGAAGCACGGAGTTAATGAGAATCTATAAAAGGGGACTTTTTGGTACTTTTTCGTTCTTCAATAGGTACTTTTTGTGTTTTCTATAATATTGAACATAGAGCCCGTTGGAAATGAGAACCTATAAAAGGAGACTTTTTGGTACCTTTTCGTTCTTCAAAAGGTACTTTTTGAGTTTTCTATAATATTATTGAACATAAAAACATGAAATTAAGCATGTAGTGGCCGAAGTAAATAAGAACCTATAAAACGGGTACTCTTGGTACTTTTTCGTCTTTTAACTGGTACTTTTTGAGTTTTCTATAATATTCAACCTAGAAACATGAAATTAAGCATGCAGAGGCCGGAGTAAATTAGAACCTGTAAAAGGGGACTTTTTGGTACTTTTTCGTTCTTCAATAGGTACTTTTTGAATTTTCTATAATTTTGAACCTGACATGAAATAAAGCCCGAATTATGTGAGAACCTATAAAAGGGGATTTTTTGATATTTTTTCGTTCTTCAAAAGGTACTTTTTGAATTTTCTATAATATTGAACCTAGAAATATGAAATTATGCACGTAGAGTCCGGAGTAAGTGAGAACATATAAAAGGACACCTTTTGGTACCTTTTCGTTCTTCAAAAGGTACTTTTTTGTTTTTTTTTTATAATATTGATACTAGAAACATGAAATCTCTAAAAGGGGACTTTTTGACATATATATTTATTTTATTCCATTACGATCAGGGTAGAGAAGCACAGTGGGTATAGCAAGTTTGAAATAAAACTATATACGTTTTTTTTTTAATTTATTTTATATTTGTTTATTTATTTCTTATTATTTGTTTATTTTTCATTTCTTTTTTTTTTCATATATTTTGTGTAATTTGTTTTTGGATATTAACCTTGTAGTGCTATTATTTAAATAGTTTTATTACTTTACTTTTACTTTAAATAGCGAACATTTAAATATTTTAGCAAAATTTCTTAATGTAATAATTTATTATTAATTTTTTTTGTTTATATATATATTTTGTTTAAATTTTTACATACAACTTTAACTATTGATAATAAAATATTAAAAATTAATTAATTAAACTATTAACAAAATAAACAATTAAAGTTAAACTTATATAAAAAGTTAAAAAAATTATTTAAAAAGAAGTATTAATTAAAAGAAAAACAATTTATTTTTTCAAAAAAATATTTAAGGTTTTTTAAAACTATTAATTAATAAAAAACAGGAAGCATTTGATATGTTGTTTAATAATAATAAAAATAATTATTTAAAGTTTAAAATTTAAATAAAAAAAATCTATATAGAAAACATGGATTAAAACATTAAATTTTCCATTATTAAATTATTGGCACACTATCTAAGTCTTAAAGGTTTTTTTTGTGATTTTTTTTAAATTTTTAGTTTTTTTTACTAATTATTTTATTGATATAATTTAAGCTTTTATTATAATAAAGCAAAAATAAAAATAATTAAATTACTTGGAGTATATTTTAAGGGTTTTTACTTAATTATATAAATTAAATTTTTAAACTTTTTAAATGGTTTGTTTTAATTTTTTTTTAAATAATGAGTATTAAGTTTTTCTTTTCTTTTTTTTAAGGGGGAATGTGAGTGTTGGGTTTTTAATTAATTTACAAGCTTAAAAATTATTTAACAACATTTAATGTTTTAACATGATTTTTATATTAATTAATTTAAATTTTACAAGAATTATTAAAATCTAAATGAAAATTTGTTTTAATTTATAAAGTATAAAATTTTATAATTAAATTTTAAATTAATTATTTACATTTTTTTTTTTTTTTTTTTATTTTTAAATAAAAAGTTCGATGTCAATTTATTACACAGACATATACATATACCAACACACTTTTTTATAGTTATTGTTATAAAATGTTTTATGTATATATATTTTTTTACTTGTTTTTGTTGTTGCTATGTATGTAATTGACACAATTTTTGTCAGTTATTTTTTTTTGTTTTTGTTCATTTGTTTGTTTTAATTACAGTGTCTGTCATTAGTTAATAACATAATTATAATAGTTATAATAGTATTCTTAGTTTTTAAGTCTAGTGTTTGTTCATAGTACATTATAACAAAACCTTAACTTTTACAAGTTGTTTTTTTATTTTTTGCAATTGTGGTTATCTGCCTTAACTTTTTTTTTTACAAAAACAAATACTTAATTAGTTATAATAGTCATTTAATTAAGTGTTTGTGGTATGTGTCTTAACATTTGCTTTAAACACCAAATAATAGACAGAAACCTCTTACCACCTTTTGCTACTTCTACTCTTTATAACTCACAATTTGGAGGGGGCTGGGTAGTGAAATGTTAATCTTTTAATGATTTGTTACTATTAAGGAAGTGTCGAGGATTTAAGCAAACATTACCATCTAATTGGATTTATTTTATTTGCAAAGACTTCTTTGGCAAATTTTAATGGGAATTTTATTATAATAACTGTCTCAACTTGTACGGAGAATTCTTGGAAATGTCTTTAACTCATTAGATTTGTTAAAAGAAAACTTTAGTTTAAGTTTGAAAGAAGTTTGGAAAACATTAAAAGTCAAGAAACAAGGATAGAGTGTAATTAACTCGTCCACATGTTAGAACAGCCATGTCTTTCTTTTGTTTTCTTAGAAATGGCGTTAACTCGTTAGATTTTAGTTCAAGTGACAAAGAAATTTGTGAAACACGAAAAGTTTCAAGTGGAACAAATGAGACAATTTTACACCTCAGCAATGAGCTCTCGCATGACATCTTATTCTCTCTTGCTATCAAACATCTCTAAACTCTCACTCTCTCTCTCTCTCTCTTTCTGCTAATGACTGTTTTTACATATATGTTAAAAAAACAAGAATTGTAAATAACTCGTCCACATTTTAGACCAGCGATGGTCTTTTTTGTTTGAAATGGCGTTAACTCTTTAGATTTAAGTTCCAGTGACAAAGAAGTTTGCGAAACAAGAAAAGTCTCCTAAAACTTTTTTTGGGGTCAAGAGCAACAAATTCGTTATATAGATAGACTTTTACGTAAGCATGACATCTTATTTCCTCATGCTTTCAAACATCACTAACTCTCACTCTCTCTCTTTCTGCTAATGACTGTTTTAAATGCTTGAATATTATGATTAAATACATCTCTGTAGATTTGATTTAAAGAGAAACTAAACCGTTGATTTAACAAACAAGGAGCTTAAACAACTTCTCCAAATTTTACATATCGGTTAAAAAAACAGGAAGTGTAAATAACTCGTCCACATTTTAGATTAGCGATGGCTTTTTCGTTTTCTTAAAAATGGCATTAACTCTTTAGATTTAAGTTCCAGTAACAAAGAAGTTTGTGAAACCGGAAAAGTCTTCTAAAACTTCTTTTGGTTTTAAGAGCAACGAATTCGTTATATAGATAGACTTTTACACCCCAGCAATAAGCACTCGCATTTTGGATGAGAAAGGGACCAGTTGAAATATGTTTAAAACGAATTTCTTAAAGTGCGCTTAATTATTTGTAAAAGTTCATGTTGTGAGAAAACCAACAAATGATCATGCCCCAGCAAAGAGCGCTCTCGTGAGTTTGTATTCTCCTTTGCTTACACGCATGTATAAAAACAAACATTTCTCTCCCTCTCCCTTTTTGCTGATGTCTATTTTATTTGGCTAGAAATTGTGATTTACTCTTAGTTCTTAAAACATTTAAAGTGAATCTTAAGTTATAAGTTATAAAAATAATAAGTGGACCTATAAATCTGCTTAATTTTGATTACAAGAGAAAATCGTAAATACTTGTTCACATTTTGTATCAGAACAGAGAACAGTTGAAATATGTTTAAAAGGAAATTGTTCAGTGTAGTTAATTATTTGTTAAAGTTAGTATTATGAAATCATGTCGCAGCAAAGAAAACTGTTATTATCTTTTGCTTACACGTATGTATAAAAACAAACATTACTCTCTCTCTCTCTCAATCTCTTTTGTGGCTAGAAATAGTTCTTAAAAAATTACAAGTGAATCTGAAATAGTAAATGATAAAGAAAATAAGTCAAACCATTAATCTCGTACCTCGATAACAATTAACGGTTTAAAAGAGAGCATTAACAACTAATGGTTTAAAAGAGAGCTTTAAAAGTTCTTACGAATTCAAATTTAGAGCAAACAAAATCATCAATTTAGTTCCATTCAGTTTTAGAAACTAATGTTACAAATGTCTTCTTTGGGCCTTTCAAACTCTGCGAATTTGAATCAAAATTTCGGATCGCTATCCTTTCCACAAACTACTCTAAAATGCTAATAGAAGCTAAAGATTAAAAAAAAAGGAAATACAACATCTCAATTACCCTTCCTCACATTAAAAAACATACGCGCCACTTTACCCAAAGCACCCACAATATCCCAACTCTCCTTTGAGGGTAAAGAATTCGAAGCAGTTGTATAATTTTGATTCGCGTCTATCATAGTGTTTGAGGCTCCTGTATAAAATTCACAATTTTGTTGAAGGTCGACCTATGAGGGTGTGGAATACCAACCACTCGTTGGAGCACCCTTATGATATAAATGAAAACTCGAATGAGGTGCAAAATATTGAGGTTGATCTAAATTACTATAGGTTAAACCGCTGCTAGCATCGGTGGTACTATTATGATGCATGGCAGCTGCTGCTGAGTAAGGTTGAGGTTTGAGGGGTAAAGCGGAGGATACATCTGCGGCACTGCTAGTGGTGGTGGTATACTGAGACTTAAGAGGATCAGCGTAGTCATAGCCACCATTTAGAGAGGTTAGTGTGGTAGTGGGTTTACCTGCATTTAGAGAATTGTTAGTATCTCGTGGTGAAACCGAACTGGGCGGTGTCATGGCATTGTGGTAATCAATGGAACTGTGATAGCTGCCATAGGTGGAGACGAGATTGGTGAAGGCATCAGAAGAGGTCTTTTGGGGATGAGAGTGCAGTTGTAGATATTGATTATCATACGAAGACTCACTACCGGGTGGTGTGGGTAAAGGACCAGTTTGTTGATCACCATAGAAAACACCGGTGGGTGTTTGCCGAGCGGTGGCTCTTATCACACTTTCACGATTGGCATAGAGTTGTCTTAGCAGGGCGGTGGCAGGCATGGGAGGAGCAGGTTGCTGATAATGAGGTGCTCCTATCCATTGTATGGTGCTGCTTTTCTCATTTTGTTGCTGCTGCTGTTGTTGCTGTTGCTTAAGCAATGAATCCGTACTAAAGTCGGTAGTATTGGGACCCGCATTGCTAACACTACCCGGTGAGGGCAAATGTTTAGACATGGCTTGTTCCAAATCCTTGACGGAAGTTTCCGGATTTTGTATTTGTGAAGGAGCTGGTGTTTGTTGCTGCTGTTGTTGTTGTTGTTGTTGCTGTTGCTGTTCATCGATTATGGAGGGCAAGCGAGAACGTGGTGTTTCACGATCTACAGCAGGAACTTTGGCATTAGGTTCATTTATGGAGTTATTATTATCCATAACACCAACATCATTATCCACCGGTTGTTGTACCGGAGTAATTTTACTCTTACGCTTACGTTTCGTGGTGGTAGGTGCAGGAGTGGGTGCTGTGGCCACTGTTGTGGGTAAACTATTAACAGAACCATCTTCTGTTACATTTAAACCAACAGTGGAATTTGTATCCTTAATTAAGTTTATATTAGAGTTGGCATTATTCGCTGATCCTCTACCCCTTGATCGCTGTTGCTGCTGCTGTTGCTGTTGAGCATCTGGTTCTGTTTTGGGAGATGTTAATTTTGTTTCAGTACCCGCCAAACCATTATGACTAATATCACCCGCAGCCGAAGCATCACCACCGGGAGAACCGGAATTTTTATCAATGCTCGACATATCTTCATGCTTAATGCTATCTATACTTGGTTCCAATTGGCAACAATCCAAAATGAGATTTTCATTTTCACGATTACTGATCACATAGTTGACACAAATGATATTCTGTTCATCGGCATTTTTGGAATTGCAAACAACAGTGGCACAACTTTGCATCCACGTGTAGCCGCCATTTTTGTTCATCAAACGATAGTAGCCGGTCAGAACTTGACCCTTTTCAATTACTGTAAAATTAATTAAAAAGCAAAGAATTTTAAAAATTGCTACAAATAGTGGTAGCATTTATTATTAAATACTTACAATCCATATGATGTTTTCTCATACGATTGGCATCTTCGGCATGGCACAGCGAATACATACTTTTACCCACCATATCTTCGGGCGTATAATCCAATAAATCGGAAACTCTGTAATTAAAATGAATGGGTTTACTTAGGCTTTTGTTTGTAGCGAATTAAGTATTTGCTTTACTTACCTTGGCTCACAGTGGGCAATGCGAAAATCAAAATTAATTCTCGTTACAAACATGTCACATTCCAAGCGAATTTCATGCACTGATGGTGGTGGCAAAGCTATAGCCAATGCCACCATACCGAGAAGTGGTGGCTGTGATTTTCGTGTATGCGAAAATGTATACTGTGGCCGTAATTTACATAATAATAAAACTACCTAAAATTAGAAAAGTTAAAGATTGGAAATTTAGAAAAAATTTAGAATGAAAGAGGCAAGAGCTATTGGAATAAAAGGAGATTATATTTAATTGTTACAATTTGAAGAGAAAACAACTTGAAGAGAAACTCGTGATAATTGTGAGAAGTTTATTTAAGAAAATTGCGGTTTAGAATTGCGAAAATTGCGGTTTAGAATTGCGAAAATTGCGGTTTAGAACTAAAACAGAACTATAATAGAACTAGAATAGAAATAGTACAGAACTAGAACTGAACTGAACTAGAACTGAACTAGAACTGAACTAGAACTGAAGTAGAACTGAAGTAGAACTGAAGTAGAACTGAACTAGAACTGAACTAGAACTGAACTAGAACTGAACTAGAACTGAACTAGAACTGAACTAGAACTGAACTACAACTGAACTAGAACTGAACTAGAACTGAACTAGAACTGAACTAGAACTGAACTAGAACTGAACTAGAACTGAACTAGAACTAAACTAGAACTGAACTAGAACTGAACTAGAACTGAACTAGAACTGAACTAGAACTGAACTAGAACTGAACTAGAACTGAACTAGAACTGAACTAGAACTGAACTAGAACTGAACTAGAACTGAACTAGAACTGAAACTAGAACTGAACTAGAACTGAACTAGAACTGAACTAGAACTGAACTAGAACTGAACTAGAACTGAACTAGAACTGAACTAGAACTGAACTAGAACTGAACTAGAACTGAACTAGAACTGAACTAGAACTGAACTAGAACGAACTAACTGAACTAGAACTGAACTAGAACTGAACTAGAACTGAACTAGAACTGAACTAGAACTGAACTAGAACTGAACTAGAACTGAACTAGAACTGAACTAGAACTGAACTAGCACTGAACTAGAACTGAACTAGAACTGAACTAGAACTGAACTAGAACTTAACTAGAGTTGAACTAGAACTGAACTAGAACAGAACTAGAACTGAACTAGAACTGAACTAGAACTGAACTAGAACTGAACTAGAACTGAACTAGAACTGAACTAGAACTGAACTAGAACTGAACTAGAACTGAACTAGAACTGAACTAGAACTGAACTAGAACTGAACTAGAACTGAACTAGAACTGAACTAGAACTGAACTAGCACTGAACTAGAACTGAACTAGAACTGAACTAGAACTGAACTAGAACTTAACTAGAGTTGAACTAGAACTGAACTAGAACAGAACTAGAACTGAACTAGAACTGAACTAGAACTGAACTAGAACTGAACTAGAACTGAACTAGAACAGAACTAGAACTGAACTAGAACTGAACTAGAACTGAACTAGAACTGAACTAGAACTGAACTAGAACTGAACTAGCACTGAACTAGAACTGAACTAGAACTGAACTAGAACTGAACTAGAACTGAACTAGCACTGAACTAGAACTGAACTAGAACTGAACTAGAACTGAACTAGAACTTAACTAGAGTTGAACTAGAACTGAACTAGAACAGAACTAGAACTGAACTAGAACTGAACTAGAACTGAACTAGAACTGAACTAGAACTGAACTAGAACTGAACTAGAACTGAACTAGAACTGAACTAGAACTGAACTAGAACTGAACTAGAACTGAACTAGAACTGAACTAGAACTGAACTAGAACTGAACTAGCACTGAACTAGAACTGAACTAGAACTGAACTAGAACTGAACTAGAACTGAACTAGAACTTAACTAGAGTTGAACTAGAACTGAACTAGAACAGAACTAGAACTGAACTAGAACTGAACTAGAACTGAACTAGAACTGAACTAGAACAGAACTAGAACTGAACTAGAACTGAACTAGAACTGAACTAGAACTGAACTAGAACTGAACTAGTACTGAACTAGAACTGAACTAGAACTGAACTAGAACTGAACTAGAACTGAACTAGAATTTGAAAGCGTCCTTAAGAAGTTAGAAAACTACTGCTTACAGAACTGCTTATAGGTAAGCAGTATGTTTGGTTGTTGCGGGACACATTTTGAATGATTTTCTTCGAGACTCTTTTAAAGTTGTTTTCCAAAAGTTAAATTTACAAAAAATACCTAAATGTTATTTGAAAATAAAATTTAAATACTTAAAACTTATTTCTACAATGATAAAAGTAATAAAAATGACTGTAAATTAATGACTTGACTGAAATGCATGATGACCATGATAAACATTTGCATATTTTTTTTTCAAAAACACTTAAAAATTCGATACTGATCAATAAAATCAGTTTGTAATTGTTGTTCAAGTAATATAAAAAATTTGATTTCTCAAAGGTTAGTAAAAAAATTTCGAATAGTTTTGGTTTAAATTTTCAATTAAACAAAAAGAAAACTTGTTAGTAATTAAATTTCAACTACAACAGAAAAAATTGTTTAATTTTACAACAAATTTTTGGGTAAATTTTGTTAAATTAAAAAAATTTAATATCAATTAAATTCAATTAATTTTTTTTTGGTTTTGACTTTTTACTGATTTTGATTGATACGTACCGAATAATTGGTGCCCACTGTTTTACCATTTTTACCACCATTAGCCGTTTGCTCATTATTAGCCTGTAGATAATGAAGGGGAAAAGGGAGAGGATGCATAACTTAGTATAAAAATATATATAAATTTGCTTTCTTTTTTGTTTGCTTTTTATACAGCAAAACTAATAAGTGAATGAGGGAGGAAATGAAAATAAAAATATAGACAAATACTACAATAAAAAACGCTAAAATTCTAAAAATAAAAAAATTAACTACTTGTATAAATAAATTACATTCTAAACATTAAAGTTTATCACTAAAACAAAAAACAAATACTCACTCTATAACCGGAAGATTTAAAATGACAGCCTCGTTTGGTTAAGGTAGATTTCATGCGTATACAAAAGGAACGTTCATAACCCTTATAACCACTATTCGAAGTAACAGTCATTTGACCTGAAACTAAAGAAACAGAAATATTTTCTTTATAACTGAACACATCTGGAAAATTTTTCTTATTTTCAACCTACCATCTGGATTATTGGTACCATGATTACCCACACCATCATCGGAACCCCCGGAATGTGGTGAGGCCAGACCAGCTGGTCCTGTTTGTGAGCCGGAACCGGCTATACCACCCGATGTTAAACTTAAACCCAATTGTTCGGCAATTTCTGCATGATCACCTTGATGTATATAATCAAATATACTACTGCCCGTCATTTCCACCTGTGACAAGCCCAAATATATAGATACCGTTTCCGATATATACAGGAAACGACCATCAGCTGCAACGGCCAGTGCAAAACCATCCAAAGACTATAACGACAAAAATAAAATAATATAAATATGTAATTTTATTTTAAATATTTGCATATTACAACTATATAAAATTGTTAAAGAAATTCTTAAGAATGTTTATTTTTACTGTTTACCAACTAACCTGTAATATGTGGGTACCCTGATGTTGTTCAAATAAATCAACGGCGGGACTGCGTCTTATGGCTGCACCTAAGAAGAAAACAAAGGAAAAAAATGACACAAGTTAGTTAAGTTTCTTAACCCATAAGGAAAAGGCGTAATGAAAATTAATGTTAATAGTTTTTTAAAGGGTTAATACAAAATTTCCAAGAGTTTATGGTATCTCAGAATGTAAACTAAGATCGACCTATGAGCTCTTGTTGGACTTCCCCGATATTATAAATTGCTAAAAGTTAAACAACTGTTAGCTTCAGTACTGTTGTGTTATTTGATATACGCTGCTGAGTAAGATTGATGTTTGAGGAGTTGAGTGGAGGATACATCGGCTGCGTAGTAACTCCGGTGGGGTTTTAATGGCTGAAGAGGTTTTATATGTTTTGGGTTTACCCGTATTCAGAATTTCTTGGTATCTCGGGTTACATCGAACTAGTTGTGATAATCAGTGGAATACTACCTGGAATCGATATTAGTGATGACTTGAAAGAGGTCTTTTGGATTGATTATTATAAGAGGTTCATTGATCAGCATGATACCGATGACTATATTCTTTAGACTCTTTAAGACGATAAGAACCAAAAGTTGTTTTGAAAGGACTGTATCAGAAAGCCATGATTGGAAAAGTATATATTCTTACTCCGTTGAATTTCAAACTTTCACATATCCAAAGCTACAAGAAAGCTTCTGAAAAATCTCGACAAAGCGGATGACATTTGTTTCCTAGCACACAGCCATGGATAGAAGCAGAAAATATTAAATGAGATCCAATTATAGGCATCCCAGGAAGTCTAGTAAATCAATGACTCAAATTCATATCTAGAAAAACTGAACTAACATGTTCAATCCTTTGGATGTTTTAACCACATTAGACGATCTATAACCTATCACTGAACAAACTCTATATGAGTTGGGGAACGATCTCGAGCTTTTGAAACCCCAATGTCTTAAGCATTCAATTTCTGACATTTTCGAATCCAGTAACATCTTAAATATTCCTAAATCTTTGCTTGGGCAGATTTAAAAGAATATTATTACATATTTTTAATTTCGAATAAAAGGTAATGGGGATGGATTAGACATAACTTAAGAACAGTTGAGGGTGGAATTTGCAAAACACCTTTGAAATGGAACTACCGATGAAGTCTAAGGCAGAGGCATGAACAAAATTTGGAAACAATTTAAAGTCTTGACGTTAGGATGATCTAAGCGGAAACAAATTTCCCATGATTTCTACAGGATATAAAGGAGAGATCGAGTCCAGTAACACTGATTACATTTAATTAAATTTTGCCCTTGACTTTGAATCTTTTCCATGTAAAGAAGCCTATAGTCTAGTCTATTGATCCATAGTCTAGTCTATTGTATAGACTATAGTCTAGTCTAGTATAGACTATAGTCTAGTCTATAGTCTAGTCTATATTCTAGTCTATAGTCTAGTCTATAGTCTAGTCTATAGTCTAGTCTATAGTCTAGTCTATAGTATAGACTATAGTCTAGTCTATAGTATAGACTATAGTCTAGTCTATAGTATAGACTATAGTCTAGTCTATAGTATAGACTATAGTCTAGTCTATAGTATAGACTATAGTCTAGTCTATAGTATAGACTATAGTCTAGTCTATAGTATAGACTATAGTCTAGTCTATAGTATAGACTATAGTCTAGTCTATAGTATAGACTATAGTCTAGTCTATAGTATAGACTATAGTCTAGTCTATAGTATAGACTATAGTCTAGTCTATAGTATAGACTATAGTCTAGTCTATAGTATAGACTATAGTCTAGTCTATATAGTCTAGTCTATATAGTCTAGTCTATATAGTCTAGTCTATATAGTCTAGTCTATATAGTCTAGTCTATATAGTCTAGTCTAGTCTATAGTCTAGTCTATAGTCTAGTCTATAGTCTAGTCTATAGTCTAGTCTATAGTCTAGTCTATAGTCTAGTCTATAGTCTAGTCTATAGTCTAGTCTATAGTCTAGTCTATAGTCTAGTCTATAGTCTAGTCTATAGTCTAGTCTATAGTCTAGTCTATAGTCTAGTCTATAGTCTAGTCTATAGTCTAGTCTATAGTCTAGTCTATAGTCTAGTCTATAGTCTAGTCTATAGTCTAGTCTATAGTCTAGTCTATAGTCTAGTCTATAGTCTAGTCTATAGTCTAGTCCATAGTCTAGTCTATAGTCTAGTCTATAGTCTAGTCTATAGTCTAGTCTATAGTCTAGTCTTAGTCTTTAGTCTAGTCTATAGTATAGTCTTTGATCTATAGTCTAGTCTATTGTATAGACTATAGTCTAGTCTATAGTATAGATTATAGTCTAGTCTATAATCTAGTATATAGTCTAGTCTTTAGTCTAGTCTATAGTCTAGTCTATAGTATAGTCTTTGATCTATAGTCTAGTCTATTGTATAGACTATAGTCTAGTCTATAGTATAGACTATAGTCTAGCCTATAGTATAGACTATAGTCTAGTCTATAGTATAGACTATAGTCTACTCTCTAGTCTGTAGTTTTGCTTCTATATTGCGGCAGATGTTCTTAATTAAGGATGTCACGTCTTTTTTAAACTTTTCTTAAGTATTAGTTATTATATTAACATTATAAGACAAATTAAATCATTTCAAAAATTTAACACTTATTTCTACAAATATTTGTCTATTATGTCTCTTTACTATAAAACTAAATATTATGCAATTTTCAAACCAAATTCATTTCAAAAGTCATTTATTTTCAACAAATTTATAACTTTAACCTTCAAATATTTATTTCAAATTAATGTTAATGTTTTAACACAAATTCATGACAATAATTTTTTCATGTGTAGTCTCTCAATAAAAGCTAAATACAATAACAATATGTTTATGCTTCGTTGATTAAACTTGACAGTTTGTCACAAATATTACCAAGTGGTTAATAGTGAATTTTAAAGAAACAAAAAAAAAAAAAGTTTGACAAGCATGACGACATTAATATAGGCATTTTAAATATTTGAAACATTTTAAAAAAATTTTAAATTTTAAATTTTTTTATCAGGGAGTTAGGTTTCATATAAAGTTAAACATAACTTAAGTGGTCACACTTACTCCCCTTCTTTCATGCTTCCCATTTAGAATTTACACTTAAACTAACACCTTTTGGTTTTAGTAGAAGGAAGAAAATAAGCAAAAAATATTATTGTTATTACAATTGTATTATTGAATTGCTGTGAACAAAAAATTATATATATAATTTTATAGCTTTTTGAGGCATAAACTAAATTGTTTGGCAAAAATATAATTCTACTAAGCATACGTTATACTCTTGGGATTTTTCACAGTGTGAACAGTGAATAGGGTGGTTTTCTGGTTATTGTTAGTATAAGTGTTAACCTGTGTTTATGCTGGTCTAAAGCCTTGGATGGCCAGTGGGTGTTAGTAATAATCATAAACATATGAGTATTTTTTTTGGGCTTTTTTTTATTAGTTTTATTTCTGTTTTATGAAAAGGCGTTTTTTAAGGATTTTTTATTTAATATTTACAGGATTTGTTTTTATTTGACTTTTTTGGGTTGTACGGGGTGTTAAGGGGGAGTTTTGTTTTGGTCTTAAGGTCATAATCGTAAAATTGTATAATTGAATTAAAACAAAATTTATTACTTAAAGTCAGCTTAGGAACAACATATAACAAGTAAGAAAGTATAGTCGGGCGTGGCCGACCATATGATACCCTACACCAGTTATGAATATTAAATGTGATTTATTTTTCATAATAAAACATTTATCTTCAATATTGCCTTGTTCCGATACATTTAAGCAATTTATGGATGAAAAACTAATTTTCTGAAAGAGGCTTTATATGGGGGCTAGGGGCAAATATGGACCAAGCAAGGGGACTTTGTATGGGAGCTAGGGTCAAATGGGGCCCGATCTTTATGAAATTTGGCAGGGTCATCAAGACTTCTATAAAACTTAGTTGTGCCGTATTTTATCGATATATCTGTATATTTAACATAATTATGAGCTCAGAAGCCCTTTTCGGGGGGTTCTGTTGTATGGGGCTAGGTGAAATAATGGACCGATTTTAACCATTTTCAATAGGCTTCGTCCTTGGGTCAAATAAAACGTGCGTGCCAAATTATCTTGAAAATTGCGACCTGTACCTTGCGCACAAGGTTTACATGGACAGCCAGCCAGACGGACGGACGGACATAGCTTAATCGACTCAGAAAACGATTCTAAGCCGATTGGTATACTTTAAGGTGGGTCTAGGACGAATATTTTTGTATGTTACAAACATCAGCACAAATCCAATATACCCTCCCCACTAAAGTAATGTAGGGTATGTATAAGAAGCTTACGTACAGACAAATGCTTAGTTTAGGGAGAAATTAGGAAATTTGAAAGAGTTTTTGATATAAAATTCCCCAAGTAACGTGAAAAATATTTCATATTATTGAATTAAAATTTATTTTTGAAATAAAATTTACAAATAAGTTTTTTATTGCCAACCAAAAAAGACATTCTGTTTCGATTTCACCAAGATTTCTTTAAAATACAATAATATTAAAAATTATTTTCTTATGAATCATCATCCTACCATGATTCAATCGCATAACGATTTTTCAGTTAATAAATAAAATTGTATTTAATTACTCATTATTGGTTACCATTTAAATAAAATTTTCCCTAAAAAAAACAAGCAATCAAATACCATAAACAAAAAATTCCCCCAACAACATAAAAAATATAAACATTAACTTTTTTTCGCTTAACAAATATATAAAAAAAATCAAGGTAATAAATACTTAAAAAATATGGCAAAACCATTTTGTTTAACAAAAAAAAAAATTATATAAATTGAAAAAAACAATAATAATTTAACCTTCCGTTACCTTCTATAAAAAAAAAAACAGAAAAATAAAATTCAAAATGAGAAAATTAAATTGATAAAAACTCAACAAACAATAAAAAACAAAACAAAATGGTTGCGCATGAGCACAACAAAATAAATAAAAACGAAAAAAAAAAAATTGTATATATTTACACACTTTTTTATGCAAATTAATTGAATTGAATTGTAATGGTTTAAAGTACGTTTCTACTTACTTTATAGACAGTCACATAAACTAAGCTCAGAAATTAAAAAAAAAAAAAAATACCAGACCAGACCTTTAAATAGCTTATGGTTTCTATAGAAAATATTGTTCACATTTAATGGTTTTTCTACAAACCCAAAATTCCCCCTTTTTGTTTTAAAATTTAAATTTATTAACAAAAATTTTTTTTATTACAATAATTTTTCTAAAAATTTATTAAATTAATTAATTATTCCTAACACGCTGCGCTACAAAATAATTTTAAAAACTACACACTTTAAATATCTGAATACAGAAAAAAGTTTCACTTCCTTTAACTGAAATTCCCGTACTGATCATTGATCACTTTTTTTGTGTAGTTTGGTAAAAATAAATTTTCCAAAATTATTCATCAAAATTTCCTTTTTCCATTTAATTTTTAAATTTAGACGCCATATTTGTTTTAAACTAAAAAAACTTTTATTTTCTCCTATTAAAGTTATTAACGTATTAATGAAATATATACAAACAAAGGTCGGGAAACATGGATTTAACCCCAAATGAACCTATAGAAGTTTAAGACGACTTGACCAAACAACGGACACTCTCTGTTTTTGTCATTGTGAGGTTTTTTAATTTAGATCCAAATGTCTTGGGAGAGATATATTGCTCAGGAATATTGATTAGAATATTTTAAGAAACTACGTCCAAGAAATTGAAATTTTAAACATCAAATCACAGTACCTTTAAACGACTCTATCAACATAAACTATCGGATACAAGGAAGTAAACATCCTCCTTTCAAATATAATGTAGTATACATCCTCCTTTCAACCTACATAGTTAGTTTGAAAGAAAAATGTATGTTACATAAAATCCATGATGTACTTCCTATGCCTCAATTGGGCCTATTGAGCACTCCTTTACCAATATCAATACCTCTGATGGAAATCGTTATACAATAGTTTGTTCTTCTTACAAAATTTATGAACAATTTCTTTTCATTTACTTACTTTTCAATTTACTGCTGGTGGTTTGTTCTCTGGTCCATGGTGGATCACCATGACCGGAAAAGTCTCTTAATTTTAAATAGCTTATGGTCAGTCTTATTATCGATGCCTTATCCAATTGGCTGGTTATGGCGGCGGGTAGTGGTAACATTTTTGCCAGTTCATAAAATTCAAAATTCTCTTTGCCACGCCGTGAACGCGCCGCATCACGTGATTTCTCTTTGCGCAGCTCAAGAATTCTACAAAAAAAAAGAAAGAAAAAAAGAAAAAATCGTTTATTAAAATGTGAAGTAAAAAGATATCAAGAGAAAGAACTTTACATAAAATAAGATAGACTGTAGACTAGTCTATAGACCAGACTATAGAGTGATAATCCAGTAATCCAGACTATAGTGTATAATATTGTCCAGACTATAGAGTAGACTAAAGTCTAGACTATAGAGTAAAATATAGTCCAGACTATATAGCTGACTATATTCTAGACTATAGACTAGATTATAGACCAGACTATAGAGTAGACTATAGTCCAAACTATAGAATAGTCGATAGTCCAGTCGATAGTTGACTATATTCCAGACTATAGAGTAAATTGTAGTCCAGACTATAGAATAGACTACAGAGTAGGCTATAGTCCAGACTATAGGATAGACTATAGTTCAAACTCTGAAGTAGTCTATAGTCCAGACTACTATATAGTAGACTACAGCCCAGATTATAAAGTAGATATATTGCCAGACTATAGAGTACTATAGGGAATACTATAGACCAGACACTAAAGTAGTCTATAGTCCAGACTCTTAAGTAGTTTATAGTCCAGACTATAGAGTAGACTATAGTTCATAGTAGTCTGAACTATAGTCTACTCTATAGTCTGGACTATAAACTGGTAGACTACAGCCCAGACTATAAAGTATACTATAGTCCAGACTCTAAAGTAATCTATAGTTCAGACTGTAGAGTAGACTATAGTCCAGACTATATAGTAGGCTATAATTCAGAAAATATAATACATTGTAGTCCAGTCTATAATCCAGACTTTAGAGTAGACTATAGTCCAGGCTCTAAAGTAATCTACAGTCCAGACTCTAAAGTAGTCTATAATCCAGACTTTAGAGTAGACTATAGTCCAGACTATAGAGTAGACTATAGTCTACTATATAGAGTAGAGTAGTCCAGACTATAGAGTAGACTATAGTCTACTATATAGAGTAGAGTGGATTATAGAGTAGACTATAGTCCAGACTAAAGAGTAATCTACAGTCCAGACTAAGGTCAATATTATAGTACATACTATATACCAGACTATAGTTCAGAATACTCTAGTATCTACAGTTTTTTAATAATACAGTAGGGGGCAAAATATAAGAATAAGGCTCGGTACATTATACCAGACACTTGTTTCAATTTATTTGACTTCATCTATATCCCTCTCAAGTTGTTTGTTTTTTCATAATTTACCAAATAATTTTTCTTACCAAAATATTTTTGATTTTATGACTTTTAAACCGTTAGTTTATGTTCAAAAACAATTGTTTAAAACTGCAGGTTTTGCCAGCAGGAGTTCATACAAAATATGATTTGATTTATATTATCGCAATACAGCTGTGAATGTGCACAATTAAACAATAGATGAGAAGTGTCTTTTGACACAGGAGGTAACAAAATGTTATAGATTGTCACAAGATTTTTAAGGAAAATAATATAAAATGTTTGTTTTTTTTTTAAAGAAAATATAATAATGATAATAAAAATATAAAGATTACAGTTAGATTTTGAAGAAAAACAACAAGAATTTTAATGGAAGTAGGAAAAATATGGATGTAGATCAAGGTTAAAAAAGATAAAGGACAATAAGAAGAATTTTATTTTAAAATATTTCTAATTTAAAAGTGGGAGTAAAAAATTCGGTTTAAATAATAGAAAAGTACTAATAGAAAAATAGTATTTATAGTAATGCTTATTTGTATAGTTTTAAGTAAGGCAAAAGGTATGCAGTAGTCATTATAAAGTACCGTTAGCAGAAGTAGTTTTGCAAAAACTAAGCAAGCATTTTACAATTCCTTTTTTACATTTTTCAAGAATTTTTTTAATTTGTCTCCCTAGAATCGCATAAATAACCCAATAAATTTGTCATTGGTTTTTTTTAATATTAAATTTTTTCTTTGCTAATAATGTTGCACAAATTATTTACGCTACATTTGTCACAACACATCCGTGTAAAATACTTATCAAACAAATATTTTGTAAAAAAATTTGTCTAAAGGCAACAAAATAATTACATTGTATGTACAATTTACATTTGTTATTTTCAAATTTTATTTTCCCTTCTTTTGAAAAGCGACTGACAAAACAATTAATCTTTTTATTTTCAATAGACGACAAAAAAGTAAATTTCGAAGCAAATCAATCGTTAACAAATTAGCTGTCAATGAATATACACATGCCTTTCATTGCAAAATTGAGTTGAAGGCAAAAAATAATGTAAAAATGGCTGAAAAATCATTTGTCTTGTTTTTAAAATGAATTTGTATTTAAATTTTAGACAAAAAATTGCAAAAAATTAAGAATAATTTTGAAAAGTAAAATATTCTAAGAGATAATTGCTAAAAAGACAACCATGTAATTGGGACTAATAGATTTTGTTTCTATTTTTTTAAATTTGCAACTTATTGCTTTAAATAATTCCAAATTATTTTATATTAAAACTCAAAACTCATTTTCCTATATGTTGACTTTGATTACCTGTCTTGAGTTTGACATTACCTTTCAGCAGTCGCTTCGTGTGAACTATTGTTTTCCTTTTGCGGTCTTCTTGTAATCTCTTGTGTAATATGTATTGTTCTTTGGTTTTTATTAGGTCACTAATTCCTTTTTGTTTTATGGCTATACATTCTATTCTCAAGGCAAAATAAGTAGCTTAAAGGATTAATGCAAGTAATAAAGGTATTAGCAACATTTTCTTTTCTTTTAAAATCTAATCGATTTTAAATGTCAGCGAATATTTTGCCAATATAAAAATCTAAAATCCGATTAAAACTTTTGATAACACACAAATGTAACGCTTTTAAAAAAGGCATAGAAAAAAGAACCATTTTCTAAAAGGGGAGTTTTTATAATACGATTTTGGAACGAATATTCGCGGCCAAATAGCTGTGAACTTTTTTAATAAAATTTTCAAAACTCTACTTTAAGTTATTGGGAAAATGTGTTATAGAACAGACTATAGACTAGACTATAGTACATGCTATAGAATAGATTATATTTTAGAATATAGAGTATACTATAGTGCAGTCTATAGGTCCAGACTACTGAGTAGACTTCAGTCCATACTATAGTCCAGACAATAGACTAGACTATAGTCCAGACAATAGAGTACACAATAGTTCAGACTATAGTGTACTCTATTGTCTGGGCTATTCAGACTATAGAGTAAACTATAGTTCAGACTATAGAGTAGACTATAGCCCAGGCAATAGACTAGACTATAGTCCAGACAAGAGACTGGACTTGTCTGGACTTAGACTATAGTCCAGACAAGAGACTGGACTATAGTCCATACTAAAGACCATAGTTCAGACAATAGAGTAGTCTATAGTCCAGACTACAGAGTCGACTTTAGTCCAGACCCTAAAGTAGTCTATAGTTCAGATTATAGAGTATACAATAGTTCATACTATAGAGTATACTATAGTACAGACTATAGTCCAGTCAATAGACTAGTCCAGACTACAGAGTAGACTCAGTCCATACTATAATCCAGACAATAGGCTAGACTATAGTCCAGATAATAGAGTATATATAGACTATAGTCCAGACAAGAGACTGGACTATAGTCTATACTATAGAGTATACTATAGTTCAGACAATAGAGTAGTCTATAGTCCAGACTACAGAGTATATTATAGACCAGACAATAGAGTAGTCTATAGTCCAGACTATAGAGTAGACTTTAGTCCAAACTCTAAAGTAGTCTATAGTTCAGATTTCAGAGTACACCATAGTTCAGACTATAGAGTAAACTATAGTCCAGACTATAGAGTAGTCTATAGTCCAGACTACAGAGTACACTATAGTTCAGACTATAGAGTAAACTATTGTCCAGACTATAGAGTGACTATACTCCAGACTATAGAGTATACTGTAGTCCAGACTATAGAGTAGATTATACATAGTCCAGACTATAGAGTAGACTACAGTCCAGACTATAAAATATACTATAGGAACTTTTATATTAGAAAAAATCTAGAATTCTATTGCGGACTTGATTTTGGGCCTTTGGAGGCATTTTGCCCTTCGCCAAGTTTCTATTCGGTTTCTTTTAAAGAGCATCGAAAGCTCAGGCTTTGTTAAGGCAAAACTTTTTTGATCAGCTTAGATCTTTGCGAGATATTTGACCTACAAAAACACGGCCTACACAGAGGGAAAAAGAAATATACACGTCTGGTATCAAATTGACACCAAAGAGTTTATAATTTTTCAATAACATTCGTTGTCAAAGTCACAAAGTCAACATTGCAACAATTCTAAATTTTCTATACATCCGTTGTCTAAATGTTAACAAACGTTCTGGATCCGGAACAGAGAAAAGATGAATGAAATATATTTTGTGGAGATTTTATCAAATGAATTTAAATTAAAAACTTGTTTCCCCTTTTAATTTGTAAAATTGGTCACAGTTCTAAAGAAATCTAAAACGAACATATTCTGAACCAGACACAGAATAAGAATTTCTAGAAATTTACGAAATAGTGAAACATATTTGTTACTTATAAACCATTTAAAAAATATAGGTTACAATTAAGCAAAACTAATAGAATTTTATAATGATTAACTGGAAATAATTTTAAAATTCTATAAAAAAAAAGTTTAAAAAAGAAAAAAGCTATGAAATAACAACAATTAACTAAACAGCTGTTAAAAGTTATTAAAATGTTTAAAAAAGATTTTTAAGAAAAGTCTTAAACCTACTAATTTTTATAACAAAAAAAAAACTACTAAAGACTTTATTTTAAAAGCTGCAGAAAAAAAAGTTGGTAAAAATAATTACAAATCAAGTTTTTTTTTGGTTTTAATAACTTTTACAAATAAGTTTGGCCCGTGCCAGACGTACGTTATAAAAGTAAATAAATACTATATGTATGTCATCATCCAGAGTTAGAGTATTTAAAATTAAATTTAATTACCAAAAAATATTTTTATGCTCAACAAGTTTAAGATCAAATCTTTATGAATAAGAAAC